TCTCCCCTGCATGCCCTGGACTTGCTTATTCCCTGCTGTTCTTCTGTGGTCCCAGGATTCAGCCTGACAATGGACAATTCTATTTGGAGCCTCTGATTCTTACACTGGGCAATTTTCCTGTTGCATATGCAAGAAGTGGGAGTAGGGTTGGACAGTGTCTTGGTTACTTTTCTCTCATTGCTGAGACAAAGTACTCAGTGTCCAAAATTAAGGAAGGAAAGGTTTATTTAGCTCATAGTTAGTACAGGGTTCCGTCCATAATCAGCTGACTTCAAGGCAGGGTGGCATGGTAAGGGACAACAGCTCAAGGCAGCAGTAGACAGAAAAAGCAACAAGAGCAAAAGGAGGAAGGGAGCAACCCTCTTTTCTTCCCTTATATTGTAAGCAGGCTACCACCCCTTAAGCTCTCTACTCAGTTCCATAGTTAACCTTCTAAACTTTTCAAGTTCATACAATGAACAACATCCTAGAGTGGTAAGGGTATGTCCTCTACAACCCTGGATATAGAACTGCTGAGTCACTTAGTCAAGCTTCTAGACTTCCCAAGTTGACACAACGTATCAAATATTACAGCTAGGAAGAAATGAGGTCTATACTTTTTGAAAAGATCTAAAAGGGTCAAAGTAGACTGAGAGGGACAACAGAGATAGAAACTTTAATGATCATTGTTTGGAAGATGCTCCTTCCAGCTAAGTGACTTCAGTGGTGTGTATAGACACCTCTGCATGTTGATTTCCTCTGCATCTGTAAAGCCGGGGGTAATAATCCCTACAACAGATATTACTAGATTCTGGAATGTGCAGTAATACTGACAGAAATTTTGTTTCTCTATCTTTTGGGAAGAATATAGAGAGCAGAATGGTAAAGTAAACCCCCACAAACACCGCTGCCCCCCAAAAGATCCAGGGCCTAGGCTTCTACCTCACTATTTGGTGATCTTTGATCTAATGTTTCACGAAGGCTGCTGAAGCTCCAGTCATTACATCAAAGTAAGAAAACAGGAAACAATGCAAAACACAACCAGAAAGATATAGTTTCCCTTCCTATAAGTCTCACGGTAATTCAGCTTACGTGTTGTTAGCCTACATACAACCTCTCTTCTTCCAATTCCAACAATATTTTTGTTTGTACCTCTCTGGCCCACAGTTAAATGGATGGCCAAAGTTACCTTCAAGGGAAACTAAGAAATGCAACCTTTTAGCTACACAACCACAGGTCCAGCTAGAAATTGAGACTCTATTACTAAGAAAGTATATATCAAAAGAGAACTCGGAGCCTCTACCACCTGTTTTTCCTTTCTAAGTCTGCTTTTAGCAGTTTTACAAATGGAAATGTTTTGCATAGTCTTCGAGCATGCTGGCTTTCTGGGACTCAGCCATGGCTTTAGTCCATCCTCCCTCCCCACATCATCACTTAAAAACTTTATCTACATCCTGCCATCTCAGTCAGTACCTCTTAATACAGTGCTCATTGACCAGTTCTGATGAGTCACCAATTCTGATGAATTTTGACCTCTGGGTCCCCTCACTACACTTGGATGTGGCTTGTGTCTTTGTCCCAAAGGCTCAGATGATAGAAGGTTGGTCCCCAGTGTAGGGATATGAGAAATGGAGGCACCTTCAGGAGGCAGAGCATCTTGCGGTGGGGGGTGAGATCACTGTGGGATGAAGGCAGCTCTCAGGAGATCCAGTCAGCTGGTGCCTGAGCAAGTTATAAAGAAGTAAGCCTGTGCTCTGAATTTCTGCACCTTGTGATCTCTTTTCTTACAGAAACTCCCACTATGGCACCATTTGTCACACTGGGGCACGGCCAGCGAGACTCTCACCAGAGATAAAATAGATGGGGCTATCTATCCCGTCCTGGGCTTTCAGAGTCCAAAATCATGTGAGGTACATAAACCTCTTTATAAACTACACAGCCTCAGGTATTTTATGACAGTAACAGAAAACACACAAATTCACCCATCTTCACAGTAATATAAAATCTCAGAAAATGCCTCGGGATGTTTTTACTACCATTCTGACATTTTTGTTATGGCTGACGTATATTATAAAACAAACACCATGAACTAAAAAAGTCATTTTAGATTTCTGATCCTTGTAAAATTACAGCTCATAATACACAGGAGATTTTCATAGCAACTTTAACTCTATTAAAATTTTATACATAAAAGTAAAAGCTGACCTTTATTCAGGTAACAAGAGGGAAAATGACACTTTAAAATAACTATGTAGTTGAAGTCTGACACAGTGCAAATGAATTTTTAAATGGGAAAAGACAATACTTTTCTTGAAAGCAGAATATGTATTAGTTTTGAGAGATGGAATTTAAAATAGGAAAAATTAGGAAAAAGCCCACTTAGTTTCCATGAGCTGATATTTCAATTTTTTATGATACAAAATTAACAATGTATATGTTGTTTCTAAGTGGCCACAAAAAGGGTATGTCACTACGAATAACCTACTGTGTGCATAAGTGCAATAGACAGACTAACAGAGAGCCAGCATTGCTCTGAGAGATTCTCTTCTCTGTATTTGTGTGGTCTTCATCCAATTATTTAAACTCTCTCCTCCTCAGCCTTCCCTCCATGCTCTGTCCCAGGGAAAACTGGTTTGGGAAAAGCCATATGGGATGCAGAGGAGATGATTCAGAACACCAGGTAATCTCTAGGAAAGAGCACCTGGAAGACTGGTAAGACCAGAACTCAGATACTTCCTTCCCCATGCTGACCAAGGGACTGTAAAAGTCAGTTCCTGCTTTTTCTGTGAGACCATTAGTTCCTCAGTGGTTCTCAAAGGATAGGAGTGTGCTTACATTTGGAGTCAACGAGCATGTGTATCAAGATGACCTTTCCATGGTTTGTATGCACTTGTTTATGGATAAATAAATAAATGCCTGTTATATACACACAAAACATATGGCATTGGTTCACTATCAAATACAGCGGTACCTTGGTTCACAAATGTAATTCGTTCTGCAATTCTGGAAAAGATGGTTGCGGTGGCATTCATCACTTCATGCGAAATTTGCAGACAAAAACAAAGTGTTGCCAAATAAAAGCATTCATGAACCCCAGTATCACTGTATGTGCTTAATCTCTGGTTTATGTTAAACACATATTATATTTCAAGACAAAATACATTTCTCTGGTATATATTAAATAATGTATTCGATCATAAAAGGCATAGCACTGGTATGTGCTAAGTAAATACTATATTTGATCATAAATGTTTGTGAAGTAGATGACACATTTGCTTTTTTTTGTTTTTTTTTTTTGGTTTTAGTTTTTCTCCGGTACCGGGAACCGAACTCACGACCTTGCGCTTGCCAGGCAGGCGCTTTTGCCGCTGAGCTAAATCCCCAGCCCCCACATTTGCTTATAAAGTGCATATTGCTAACATGTGCTAACTAGATACTCTAGTTGAGTATAAATATATAATCAACTGTATATGTATTTCTGGCATGTTAAGTATATAGTATATTAGATTATAAAATGCCTATCTCTGGTATGTGTTAAATGATACTGTATTTGATTAGAAATAGGTGTTAAATAGATGCTATACTTGATAAAATATATATCTGGTATATCTTAAATAAACAAGATATTTGACTGTAAGATGTGGGTCTTTGATTATAAAATCCCTATTTCTGGTATGTGCTAGACAGATACTATATTTGATTATAAAATATGTATCTCTTGTATGTGCAAAATGGATACCATATTTGATTTTGAATATGTGCTAAATAGCTACTATATTTGTTTATAAAGTACACAGCTCTGGTATGTGCTAGTATTTGACCATAAATATATGTTAAAACATAAAGTGGATTACAAAATGCCTATCTCTGGTATGTGCTAGACATATACTATATTTTATTATAAATATATGTTAAATGGATACTGTATTTGATAAAATACATATCTCTATGCCTCTTGTATGTGTAAGAGATAGTGTATTTTATTGTAAACTCCTTATCTCTTCAACATGTGAAATACACACAATATCTGATTATGAAATGCCCATCTCTAGTATGTGTTAAGTAGAAACGGTAGTGGGTTATAAAATGAATACAAAAGGAGCTGAGTAGGGTGGGATGGAGGGTGGTGTTTGGAAAAGCACAGCGCAGAGAGGCAGCTGTTTAAGAGATTGCTGGGCAGCTTTGAGCTTAGATTCTAGAGCAGGGTTCCCAGCCACATTTCCTGAAAAGAACTGGTATCCTGTGTACACTGGCAGCCCAAGTGGAGAGTGTCCCTGGAGTTACCTGCGCTCTGGCTCTTTGGGAATGCATATCTTTGTAGGCAGAGAACCTCGGAGAGCCAGAGGAGACTGTCGGCACTGGAGGGGCTGCAGGGATGCAGGAAACAAGACCTGGCACTGTTTGGGGATTGGGTGGGGAGGGACGCAAAGCCTTTTCCCACCATAAAGCACAATTCTGCTTCTGGGATTTATAACAGTGGCTGCAACCAGGATGTATTATGCAACACAAATTTTTTTACTGTTTTGCAGAATTACAGCCATACCTTGATGCTCAACTGCTCTGCAACTCACTGGACTTGGTACTTGGTGCCTTTTAATGCAAACACCTTGCTATGGTCTTTCTCGTGTGTTTGGCACTTGATGGGTGAGCTTGCAATGGCGGTTTCGACTCTCAGGAGTTGCTGCACTATTTAGCCAAGACTGTCTGGGATTCATTGCGTCGCCCAGAGCCAATTAACAGCCAGTACTGGGGCACCACTGCCAGTACGTTCGATAAGCAGTTAAAGTATTTGATATAAACTAGGTTTGAAATGATTTTTAAAATGATAAAGGAAAGAGCATCCCAGTCAATCATTCTTCCTGATAAGTCTGGGTGGTGAGGTATCGCAGCCCCTGTTCTTGAGGTATTCGTACATATAATACATAGAAATGGATTTGACCAGAATAATCACAAAATTAGATCTCTCAAAGGGTATTGGTCAACGCGGGTGTTGGGGTATTTCTTAGTTATAATCACCGTACCTGCCCTTGGTATTCCACTGGTCTCAGTCCGGCGTAAATGGGCACAAAGCTGCTAGCAAGGAGGACCTGGGTGAGGCAGAGAAAACAGCAGCTGCTGAATAGAAGCACTAACATTGAGATCATAAATCTGCTACATAATTCACTGTAAAAGCCCTATTAAATGGCCAAGTCCCATATATCTCAAGTGCACAACTGTGCATACTTTCACCATAAAAGATAACATTTTTAGCCAGGTGTGGTGGTGCATGCCTGTAATCTCAGCACTTGGGAGGCTGTGGGAGGAGGATCTCTGTGAGTTCAAGGTCAGCCTTGGCTACAAAGTGAGTTAAACGCCAGCTTGAAATACATAGTAAAACCCTGTCTCAAAAAGACAAAAGAAAAAAAAACCCAAACAAACCAAAAAACAATGAAAATTTTTCAATATCGAAAAGAATCTAAAGTCAAATGCACTGATCCATATTCTCTGGATCAATCACCTTCACCTAAGTAAAAATCAGCATTGTGATTATAGACAAGCAAGTCTACAGGAAGTTAAATTTAAGTCCACAGGTAGTTAAATATAGGGCTACAGGAAGTTGAGTTTAACTCTACGTGAGGTTAAATTTAAGTCTATAGGAAGTAAATTCAAGGTAAATCTAAGTTACTTAGTATGTTCAGGTTGCAGTTGCAAGCGAATTATTTATAGATTACGAGTGTATTATAAAAATTGTTCTAAAGTTGCATGTTTATTTCCGAGGAATAAACCCCTGTGACCTTTACAGGAAAGGTTAGCTCCACATTTCAGGGACCTCTTCCCATATGTTGCCATATTACTGCAAAGAAAAGAAGCACATTTGATGTTCTAGCATCATGGTTAGGATACATAATGTGACTGTGACACGTAGGGACACCAATTATACATACTTTACCTTCCATTTAAAAAGTCAAAATGATTGTTATTTAGGACATTACTGTTCCTTCCAACAGAAGAAGCTGACTTCCGATAGCTTTTCAGAAATGCAAATGTTGTATTTTGCAATGCAGTTTCCAAATCACTAGTGAGTGTTCTATTTGAAAACATACAGCATAAGACACTGAATATTTAAGTTATAATCTTTCAATTGATAAGCAGAAGAGTCTATGGCTGTTTACTGTCAAAGATTTCATGAAATTTTTTTTTAAACCATCATATATTATTCAGAAGTGGATTATGGCCCAAGTGGAGATTTATAAATCATCTGTTTAGAATTATTTAGAACTCAGAAGACATTTTCCCCAAAGAAACAATATTATAGGTATGATTTTTAGGTCAGCTTTCAAAAGCCTATTTATTCTGAACTGCCACTAAATTCCAGATACAGCAGTATAACACAATTTCTATAGGAAAATCTGAGTTGCTTCTTAATGCAGGAAACCCACTCCTGTCATTGTTATTTCTTCACTATTGCCATGGTTATTTCTCTACTGCATACTTGGGACTAGGTTTAACCTTCCTTATGAAATGGATCTCCCTTAAACATATCTCCTGTCTTCTCATGACCAAAAGAAATGCATGAACAGAACAGTTCATGTGCTTTTCTAGTGGAGCGCTGGACCACTAAATAAACCTTTCCTTCCTTAATTTTAGGTGTCAGGTATTTTGTCCAAGCAATGAGAGAGAAATAACCAAGACAGGCCTTTTTTTTTTGTCTTTTGAACAATCTTACCCACATTTGTCTCATTTAACTAACTTATAGAAACATGGAATACACACTAATTTGTAACACTGATTCCCAGAATAAAGTATCTCCTTTAACCAACTTATGTATGGGTTTACTTATTCATTGCAATATACAATGACAACCTCACACAAGAGTCATCAACCTTTTACCAAGAGTCAACTCCAGCATTCTTGTAGTAAGACGTTTGTCTCAAAAACTCAGCTTTAATGGGTGACAGGATAAAACAGTTTGACACTATATCTACTATGCTTACTCCACAAAGAGGCAAAGCAAGAGCAAGGGCTACTCTACGTGATTAGCTGAGGATCATTTAACAGATAAATAGGAGAGACAAGTGTCTTCAATCCCAACTCTATTGGCCCAGTGGTAGCAGTGATAAAATCTGCAGTTGGCATTATTCAGAAGGGTATTCTCACTCACTGAATTTGGCCTTATCATCAAATGGCTACTCCTTTAAAAAAATAAATGCAACCTGGGCTCTAGGTATGTTTTGCAAGCACTGTGTAGCTGTTTCATGAAGTTACCTTGCAAAGGCAAGATTGCACTTTGGTGATAAGAACAGTTTCTGGATGGTGTGCACACAGAGAAGGTACAGTATCATGAAATTATTAGAGTACTTTGCAGACCTGTAGGTCTATAAAGGACCGGAGATTTATTTCATTATGCTACAGAGATATATGTGCCTTACAAAATAATCATTGCCTTTAGTACCAGAATTATGACTCCCTCTAACACATCAAAGTATAATATGAAGCCCACAATTTACAGCTTGGAACTGTTTTGAGGTATTTGAATTAAAAGAAAGCTATCCAATTACTTTCCCGCACATAATAACAGTGAGAATCCTCCTGAATGATATGAAAAGTGCAGCAAACTGGAAAATCCCTGTCACTCCTCCAAATGGATGTTTGTGTTCTTGTCATAGGATCCTGTCCCTTCGTATGGACTGATTATCTGTCCATCAAACTAAGTTTAGTGGGAAAATTAGCTTTAGATAGATAGGGAATAAGCAGACTTTCTCATTCTCAGTTTACTGCTGTCTGATTTCAGGGTAACAGGAATTTGTAAGGAAGGAGGTAAAGATCGACATAATAAGGCCACTTCTAGAATACTATGCCCAAACATGTGCTTTCAGTGTATGTGACATCACACACATAAATGAAATTGCCCTCACTAACAAACCTCAATACAGCTATACAGTGCTTGTTACCCAGGGGCTTATATGTCGAGCAATGTATCCCTTCCCACTTGTGGGAGGAGGAGCTGTGTGCTGCTGGAACCTACTGGATAGAAGCCAGGAGGATGCTAGACACCCAACAAAGCCCAGACAACAAAGAATCAAGCTGAAACCAAGGGACAATCAGAAAAAACTCTCTAGCTTCACTTGCTTTTAGTTACTTGTCCTTATCACCAACCTCAGAAATCACCTCACTGAGAGATATATTCAAATTTGCTGCAGGGTAGATAAAAACTCTGGCATACTGGACATGTGATGACAGGTGCCTAAAGGGTTTTTCAGGAGCATGGAGGCTGCATTTTTATCTAGAGTTTATCTGTAGACAACACACTGATTGGAAATGCCCAGCCTGCACGAGGGTCTGGTGGGTGACTCACATCGGTCGGCTGAAAAATCCACACCTCCATCAAGCTAACACCACACCACCATTTTCTGAGCACACGTGCACCAAAGGTGAAGCCTGCATCCCCAGAACATGAACGATTTCACCCCTAGACATCTTCACTAAAGCTTGAAGTCCTCTACTTATTTATCCCATAAATATCACAGAGCCTAACCTTTCGGAGGCAGATTTGAGACTTGGACCTCTACCTCATTGGCTGGCCGCCTTGTGAGTGAACCTAATTTTCCTAATGCGTGGTTTCAGAAACTGGTGTACTGCGTAGCAGGCAAAACAGGCATAGTCAGTGACAAGATCCTGAATGTCAACATCGCAAGTGGTTCAGGTTGAACATGCAAGGGAAGAAAACAAGGACCTGTGTCTCTCGGCTCATCACTAGGTGTAGCCCTTTAAAGACAGTATGTATGTGAAGCCATTGGTTTCATTTTTTGTTTATTCTCACTAAGTATACAACAATAAAAATCGAAGTTAATGACTCCCCACAGCAGCAGCATAAAGCATTGCCAAGTGCGTATTCAGTACACGTTCTGACTGGCTCTTTTCATTTCACATTTTATAGAAAAGGGGTGTTTAGAAAATTATGTGGCCTAGCTTCCTTAGAGAATAAATTCCCAACAAGGTTCATTTATTCCTCAAGTTTACTGTGGAGTGTAATGAGAATCTGGCTGTTTATACAGAACCTGCTGGTGTCGTTGAAATTCAAAGACAGATTCAAATTTATCTTCCTCTGGTCTTGCCAAGATAATGGCCAATCTTAAATTCAGTTCTTATTTCAACTTCACAAAGTTAATGCGAGAGGATCTCACCGGGAAAGTATTCTCACTATGTGCAAGGAAATTCAGGACTTTGTACCACTGGAGACAGGGTAGTCCATCCTCAAAGAGCCAGGACACCATCACAATTGAAAGTCTCGGTGTCTATATGAAGGCACATGCTTGTATTTCCAGACACTCCTTCAGAACACACGTGTGCATCAGCTTTAAATGTGGAGAAATCCATGATTTGTACCAGCTCAGGGGAACAGTCAAATCCCTGCCCCACCATGCCATGTTTCAATGATTAAAATTCATTTCTACTTGGTGGCTGGGCTGGCATATGCCTTTCTGTTAAACCAAGAATTTATCTCTCTAATTATGTTTTGCTGAAGGCTAATAGTAAAACGTGCATGACCAAGAGATGTAGGGAGGAGGTTATGAGGAGAAGGGAAAGAGACATAAAAAGAATTAAGATGTGTTATGTATATGTACCAATTCCCCATTGGTACATGAATGTAATGTCTTCATCACATATTGCAAAGGTACAAATGAAAATTTTTCAAAATGTACTTGAATTTCCTAGTTGTGTACTGGCTTCGGGGGGGGGGGGAAGCACAGAATAAAATCTGGAATGTAAAAGGAATGAGTTGATATGCTCAACACAGTCAGAACTCATCCAGGAATCAAGCTGGAGGATGAAGGGTGGAATCAGGGAATCAAGGGATTAGGGGACATCTGAACATTAATCTGTCTACAGTGTAAGTACTTGAGAGCTGATGAAGCCCTTTTCCAAATTTCATTTGGCCTTCATGATCATGCGTGAGGTAGGTGGGACAGGCTGGAGTCCATCTCACAGATGAAGAAACCAAGGCACCAAGAGGTTGAGACACATCAGTAGTCCCATGGTCCACCCATAATGGTCATGTAAGTATGGACTGCATCTTACATTATTCTTCTCCATCCCCAAGTTATTA